TGGCCACGGGATGCAGGGACGGGCCGTGGGGTCCCCCAATGCACTGAGCAGCCATGGGGTGCACGGAGCCTCCCAGTGCATGGATGGGCTGTGGGTTGGACGGACCCCTCCAGTGAACGGTGCAGCCCCGAGGTGCATGGACAGGTTGTGGGGTGCACGGAGAACACCCACGTGGAGCATGCACAGTCCCGGGGTGCAAGGAGGGACCCTGGGGAGCAGAGCTGGGCCCTGCCGAGCCTCTTCCTCTTTCGCTTTGGACTGTGCTCCTTTGGCTTGGAGAGAAGGGAGAAAAAACCCTACGTTTTTCTCTGCGCTCACCCAGCACACCCCTCCCAGGCAGCGGCTCCGTGCCTTGCCCGGCTCAGCACGGTACACACCGAGTTTGGGGTAACATCTTGGCACCTCCAGACTTTCACCGTGCACCCTCCTGCCAGCTGGGCTGCACTGGGAGTGGGAGGTCAGGCTAACACCGTGTCCCGCTTCTTTCTCCAAGTCCGTGTGCTCCGCTGCTGCACCCTATTCTCAGCACCCAAGCAAGGAGCAACAGCCCCTAACCAGGGGGTCGTGTCCTGTCCTCTGCAGGGAGGGAAGTGCAGGAAGGGGCTTTAATCAGCCCCTTGAAGGTTAAATAGGACTGGAGCTGCTTGAGGTTTGGCACAGCCTGATCGTGAACGCTTGGAAGATCAACGGTTAAAGTCACGCAGTGGTTTATCGCTGTGTTTGCTGTTCGAGCCCTTTTGCAACAGCAGTGATGAAACGGGTGTAGAGTCTCTGCCAAGGAGGTAGATATTAGCAGTCGTCGGGGAAAAGAATTCCCTTTTCCTTCCTGCTCCCCTGCCCTGGATTGGTGTTTTGAGGTTCACTTGCTCATGGCTTCCCTGGTGTCCCATGTTTCACTTGTTTTGCAGCCTCTCCTTCCTCTGAGCTGTCTGTACCTGCCTGCAGAGAGCACAGCCACATGCTGTCTTGGGACCTACCCCCTGCCAGGCCAACACGCTCAAAAGCAGTCTGTGGGCTGGGGGACCCTGGGGGATGGACCAACCGTTATATAAAAATCCCCTTTCTTACCCAAAGGAAGCCCCAAAGTTGCTCACTGAGGGGTTGCAGGAGGAAGGACTCGTGTCGCAAGGTGTGGAGCCGAGGCACAACCGCTGCTGGGGGCTGTCACGAGCTGCGTGCGCCTTTGGTTTGGGATAAACCGTGACTCTTAATTTTGAACTTTTCCTAGTGAAATAGCTGGCTTCTCTTGTGTTTTATGGTCAGGCAAACCTAGGATAATGTTTCTGGCCGTGTCCCAACTGATTAAAGTTCAGTTCCCAGCTAGTGATGCCGATTGAGTAAAATAGGGACTGGGGTGATGTTGCAATGCTTGTCGTGCGAGTCGGCTTGAAGCAGTGGTGGAGAAACAGCAGGTTAGAGGCACCACCGAGGAGTTAGATGGTCTTGGCTGACAGAGAAAACCTGTCTCCCCTTCGGTTTGCACTGTCAGGGTGCAGCTGCTGTTTGTAACGGATGGTTTTGTGTTTGGTCGTTAGTGCTATTGCTGTTAACGGAGGGAGCAACGTAATCGCCGGGAGCAAAGCTGCAGACTCCCTTCCTTGCGTGGCAGGGGCGTGTGTGGGAGATGCCACTGACTTCAGGGTTCAGTTATGCTGGACAAATCTCTCCTGCTTAACTGCGCGATAAATCTGTGGCACTGGGGGCTTGGTACTGGTGCTAGAAAAGGCTCCTCACTCGGCATCCTCCTTCACACCCCTTCCTATCTGTGCCAGCACAGCAGCTCCTCGTGCACCCTGCGGCAGATGTAAACCTGGGGTGGGTGGGGGGGATTAGAAGAGGAGAACTTTTCCCTCTTTTTTTGTTTTTGGTTTGTTTGTTTTCTTTCTAATTAAAGCCAGATTGGTGTGTTTACCCACAGCACTTGTCCCCGAGCAGCTGTTGGAGCAGAGTTCCCCAGCACTGGAGCAGAGACGGAGATGACCAACCTCAGAAGCCGCAGGCTTTGCTGCTGTGGTGGCTCGGAGGAGCGGGGCTGGCACAGAGCTTGGGGCTTTAGAGCCGTAAGCTGCTTGGGGAGAGCTGGCTTTGCGTTTATACACCAGCTCCGAAGGCAGGCCCTGTTAGTGTCTCCGTTAGGAATGAAAAGACGGGCAAGAGCCATCGGTCCTGCTGCCCCAGAGGACTGAGCGTTGATAAGAGGAAACTTCGGGCTTTGCACTGTGTTTATCTCCTGCTCTTTGCCTATGGAAATCCTAGTCGTGGAAACTTAGGTTGGACTGGGGAGCCTGTGTAGTGCTGCTGACAGCCACTCGATGCCTTGTCGGCATCTCCAACATTGGGCAGCATCCCTGGGTTAGCAGGGACAACGCTCTGGTCACTGCTGACTCCTCTTGAGGAGCCCATATGTGGGTCCTCAGCTGCGCTGTTGTTCAGTCCCTTAGTTTTGTTTGCTGTAGTAAACAACCTGAAATGTCATGGGTTTTTTTTGCATGGGGTGCTGCTCCTCGGTGCTGTGAGCTCTATCTGCCCCTTGGACACTTGTGCTCTGCTTTCTCACCAACGTTTGCCCTGCCTGTGTTTTTAAAAGTGGGTGTTTTTTGGCTGGATTTGCCGCTGCTCTGGCTAGTGTTGGAGCTGAGCAGGGAGAGGTGGGAGCTGCAGTAAGGCAGGGGTTGTGACAGCGCCAGTTTAGACTGGCTTAAACTGTTTTTCTGTGAAACCCACTTAGCCCAAGGTCTTGCTGCCCCTAAGGGAGGGTGCTTCACCCCTCGCCACTGATAAATGGCTTCAAGTTGGCCTGGGACCCCTGTGAGCTCTTCCCACTTCATTTCAGTGGAGTGACTGATGCTGAGGCTTTCCCCATCCCTTTAGGGTATCCAGCTGCCCCGAGAAGCTGTCCCACCTTCTAGAAATGAGGGCAAAGAGAAGAAACTGCCTCTTCCCAGGTCCAAATAAGTCTCTTGGGAACGGTACTGCCCGTGTCCTGCCGGCCTCCGCGCAGCTTTGCTTGCCCCTTGCTCGGCTGGCCACGCTTGGCTCTGCCTGCCGGGCAGGTGGAAGCGAGAAACCTCGGGAGCTATTGGGTTTCTGCTGGCAGCGTCGCGGGCGTGCAGCTGCGATCCGTTGCTTTTCCCGTCTTTTGCAGAGTCATGGTGATTAGTGACGGCTGGGCTATAACCAGAGTCTCTGGTTGTGTGCTGGGTTTTGGAGAACTTGGGGGGTATTTAAGCTTTTAACCTGCAGAAGGAAGGGAAATCATTAATCCTAGGGGAGTGTCACCTGCCTTGAGTCCCACCTTTCCAGGCAAGCTTGCGTGCCAGTGATGTTGAAATCTTTAGGGTTGTAATTCTTAATTAATTTAATAAGTAATTGATGTAAATCACCTGGGTAAACAGTTCTTGACAAGACAATGAGACAGAAGGAATAAGTGGACTTAAAGCCAAGAATCAGAAACTTTAGTGGGCCGACTGCCCAAGAAACCTGGCCAAATTGCATGCATCAGCTGAAATCTTGTCCTTTAGCTGAACTTACCTAATTATAATATGAAAACCACGCCCCTAGAAGTTAGGATACCCACCTCCGCTTGAAGACCCTCACCCACTGAGCTTGCACAGTAGAATTAAAAATTGCTGGGCCTTTAAGTGAAGGTGAAGGTATGTTACGCCAGTCAACATTATGATCACCAGTGAAAACTTGGTAAACAATGAAAATGTCAATTATGGTAACTTACAATGTATAAATGAATGACTGTTTCAATGCTGTGTGTGCTAGCTTTAAGGACATATCCCCTAGCACCCCTTTCTGCGCAGAACTGCTAATAAATAGCGAGCACCTCAAGTCTGCGTGTCATTGGCGTGCACACCGGGTGAATGATTACCTGAGTTTTGGGACACCATCAGTAAGATTTTTAGCTGGTTGAAATGCTGCAGGTGTGGCTTTTTCCACAGCTGCTGAACTCTGGATTTGCTGCACATGCAGAAAGAGCTCCGGATCTGTCTAATGTCCAAGGGATAACACACACCAGCTCTGCACCTGCATCTCTGGCTGGCTTGAAGTCTTTCTCATCTGAAGTCTCTGTAGTGATACTGGGCGTCCTTAAGTCAATTTAAGCTTTGGGTCCCATCCAAAGAAGGGGAAGTACATTGAAAATCTGAAGTGTGCAAGAGGCTGCAGGTAGCTCTCGGTGAGTGGGAGACTGAGCTGATAATAAACAGGGATTGACATTGCGGAGCATCGTGTTGCGGAGGTAACGCAGTTGCACCCGTCCGCTCTCAGCCTGCAGCGCCTTTTAGAAGCGTGTCTGTGTCGCTGGCGGGGCTTTAGTGATCCTTCTTAAACCAGACCGTAAGCAGAGAAAGGCCAGGGCCGAGCTGCGGTTAAAATATGATCCTCCTCAGCCTACGCTGCCAGGCTCACCCGTCCTGCAGGCGTGTTGCTGGTCTCTCACACAGGCAGTTACATACTCTGGTTTGGAGAGCGGCTTTTATTTCACTCTAGGAACGGCTGCTGTGCTCTTTGCTTTGGCCGCTGGAGCATCCGCACTGTTTACTAACAGTACCGTTGGCAGCAAACCCTGCTTGTACCGTGCGGCTTCCTTGGGAGATGTTATCTTGAGGTTGGTTCAGCTTCTTCCTCTGTGGTATTGTCTGCAACTCCCAGCTTTCCGGCAGGAGAGGATGCATGGAGTGCCAGCAACCAGCAGCAAGTGTGCACGCAACACTCGTGAGAGTCAGACCGTGGTGGTATTTAGCAAGTGCCTGTCCTTTAAGGGGAAGGCAAGTTGCTTAGAATCCCTTAGCCGCAGACAGTGGTCGTGCCCTCGCCCTCGCTGGCACAGTGTGTTCCCTTCTTTGCCTGCAGCGTGCTAAGGCGTTGTGTGTCAGCGTGCATCTCTGGGCAAGGTTCCTCCTGCATGTGTTAATAATGTGGAGTCTAGGGGGAAAAGCGGGGACAGCCCTTGTGCCGAGCCTCCGGTAACAGCTCTCCTCTGCCTCTCTTTGATTTGCAGAACAATCAAGTTCTCGGGATCGGAAGCGGTTCTACGATTGTCCACGCGGTGCATCGATTAGGTAGGATGCTCCCCTTCGTGTCCCTCCCGCCGCAGAAAGCCCCCTTGTCTGGCTGTCCCAACTACCTGAAAAACATGCTGAATTGTCTGGATGCTGACTTAGAGCTGATCCGCCGGGTCTGTTCACCGACTGCTGTGTCCTCCTTGAAGCTGAAAGTTAAAACTGGGTCTTGTGCTCAAAATTTGTTGCATGGAGAGCCCTGAGGAGCTAATGATTTGCCAGCTGTTCTCCCCGTCCAGCCAGGCAGAGCGCTTTACTGGCACCCACCACAAACTGGAGCTAAACCCCTCCGGTTTGTTCCAGCTCTGCCCAGTCCTGACTTGCTTTGGGCCGTGCAGCGGCTCTGCTTCCCCTAACCCGTTTGAATGCGGCTGATGCTGCTGCTGACATCCACATTACTCACATGGAGGGTCCTGCTGAGGTGTAATAAAAATGAAGAATGTGAAACCCTGCTGCATTTTTTTTTTTTTTATATACCCTACAGCTAGGTTTATCTGCTTGCCCCAGGTGCAAGTTTGTTCAAGGCGCGATTCAAAACATTTCAGCAAAATACTCAAGCGAGGCAAATGCCTTTTGGCAAGGTGAATGTGCAGGTAATTATCCTCACACCTCATTACAGAGGGTGCAGAGTTTTAAAGTTTCCCCAGGGCACTCTCAGCCCTAAGGCACGTCTGCTTGTGGAGGTGCTGTACCTCGTCCTGCTCCGCCGGCCTGGGGCACCGAACAGAGCAGCCGTACGTGACGGGTCGGGAGGGCAGCGTCAGCCCTGTCATTCCTGGGGGGTCTTGCTCGGGTGCGGAGGGGGACTCCCTCATTCGGAAGCAGAGTTCGGTGTGTCCCACCGGGGTGGCTCTGCGCGGGAAGTCCCCTTGTGACCTCCAGCTCCTTTGGGCAGAGCCGTCCCCCAGCCCACCAGAGGCGAGGGGGATCGAGGTCTGAGCACAGCGCAGTGCTTCGCAGGGCAGCAGCAGGGGTGGTGCTGTGCCTGCCCCTCAGCACCCGCCTCACCCCGCGCCGTGTGTGATTTAGAGAATCAGTCTCTAAATAAATGGGTATGGTATTTAAAGTGTTCCAGGCTGCAAAGTCTTGAGTTTTCATGCCTATTGAATGCGTTAGCACTGGGGTGTGGGTTGTGACAACATACAGCCTCACCTTTGGTCCTTCCAGCAGCAGCAGCGTTACCTTGAAGCACGTAGCTCGTGTGCTTGCTGTGGTGCAAGAGCTGTTGCTGACTCTCGCGCTGTTGGCTTATGCCTAAGTACTGTAATTACTAAAATAACATTTTGTCCATAACGATATCTTAGTAATAGATTTTAGTCACTCGAGGTTAACCTGGGGGAGGAAATATTTCCTTCCATTTAATGGAATACTGTATTTTATTAGTCCTTTCCCTGCCATGTATTTAAATGTTGTGTAATAAATGAATGTGATGTCCCCAAGGCAACAAGCCAGAAAACCTTTCAGACAGCTGCTGAAGCTTTCTGTTTACAAGGAGCGCAGCAAAACCTGTCTAATGGAGTGAGAGAGGGGAGTGGGGCTAATTTCCCAGGTGGCGATTTGCTGACGAGGCTCCTCTGCTGCTGGAGTCACAAAGGTTAATGGCTCGTGGCGTCTTGGGCTGAGCCAGGGTGGGCGTTTAAACATTTCTGACTGTGGAAGCTGAGCCTTAGCCTCTGCAGGGTGGCACCTGTTTGCGTTTTGAGCGTGACTGAGTTATTTGCAAGCCAAGCAAGTAATTGCAGCGATTCAAAGGGGCTGCTCTGAACTGAGATTTCTTAAAGTGAAAGTTGGTGTGTTTTTTTCCTTCTGCAACGAAGAAACTGAGGCTTCTGCTTTTTTTCCGACAGCTGAGCGAGTTAAAGAGGAGAACCTGACGATTGTCTGCATCCCGACGTCTTTTCAGGCAAGCACTTTCCTACTTGGCTTTCTTCTAGTCCAGACTCTCACACAGGGGATCATCCCTTTGGCCATGGGAGGCAACCATGCTGCTCTCCGGCCTGGCTGGCTGTGGTGTGAGTTAACCAGTGAGACTCCAGTGAAACACCCGTGAAAGCAGTCGGGATGCAGCCTGCAGATGGACCTCAGGAAGCTGGCGTGGTGGTGCTGTGTAACCCTGACCTGAGCTGCAGGGATGCCACAGTGCGAGGGGGCAAGTTTAGAACCAGTGCGGTAGTGCTGCTCGTGGCAGTGTTGGTGCCTGGCTTGCTTGGGATCCCGCTGACGGAAAAATGCTGTTTTGTGGTGAACAGACTCATAACGCAAAACTCACCGGAGACACTTAAGTCTTCTTTGATTCTGTATCAAGCCCTGAAAGCTGTAAAAATCGCATTTTACTGCAAGCAACGTTTACTGCAAGCAATAATAGCGAGCTCGTGTGTTTTCAGGAGGAATTTGAAATGCATCAATGGGCTTTTATAAGAAATTGCAGAAGAAAATCAGCTTAATCTTTCCTTTGCTGTGCAGCTTTTGCAGGGATTGGCTCATACCAGGAGAGGTTTGCAGGGAGGGGGAGAACGTGGCTTGGTGGTGAAATGCAGAGTTGCTGGGGAGGCTTCTGAGCTGCTTCCATGCCTTCAGGCAACAGGCTTTGGTCTCTCTGCCTCTATTCCCTGAGGTGGGAACTTGCTGCAGAGGAGCAGCTGTCACCTTGTCAGCTTCAGGCAGGGAAAGGTGACATGATGGGGACCACCCGCAGCGTTTTTGAGGCTGGGTGGCAATTCCTCGGTCTAGGAGTTGGGAATGTGTCCTTCTCACGGTCCTGGTGTGGACCTTGGGATTGTACTTGTGTCCCAACTTTTTCACCGTGAGGACAACCAAGCGGCGAAGCGGGCTGTGCACAGTCCATCCTTCGAGGTTTTCAAGACCTGAGTGGGTAAAGCCCTGAGCAACCTGGTAGCTGACCCTGTTTTGACCTGGAGGTTGGATAAAGACCAGCCTGAATGATCCTGAAGTCTTATGAAAACTTATCCTCTTACTCTGCAGGTGTTCTTTAAGTGTGAGTGTGGGGTGATGGGACTGTCATCTTCCCAAACGTTGCAAACAACCAGTGGCCAACTGGGGTTTAATACAAACTGCTGCAAAGGGCAAAAAGTAAAAACTACGTTATTTTTTTTTCCTCTTTTAACCTATATTACTACTTCTGTTGCATATATAGACTGTGGTGAGAGTCTGTCTTTGATCAGTCTAAACTGATCCCCATCCTGAGATACCATGTCCTGTTTGAGCCTAAGAAAACTGCTCCAAGTTCAGTCATTAGGTCCTGCAGAAAATAGTGATAAAGCTCTTGTAGCGAACGCGGGCTGAAGCCTGTCCTGCCTTGAAGCGCTGGGGTAGTTCGTGTAACACTACAGAATTTCTTACCAGTAAAACAAAAAGGTTGCTGTTAAAGGGAAGAGGTCGTGCATCTGCAGGAGCCAAAATCCCCCAGACACGGGGCTGTGTCATATCTTTTGCAGTCTCTTAGACCTCAACCAATTCTGAGCGAAGCGTTCCCAGGTCAGCATCTTATTTTCGCTACGTACAGGTGTAAATGGCTGCCTGAGGTCACTGGCAAGGAGGAACTGGTTTCAGTGGGCTTTTATTCTCCCTTCCCTGTTGTCAGGTTGGGTTATTCCACCGCCGTCAGTAAAGCTAGAGCTGGGGTAAGTATCTGTCCCTTGGCTGTCGCGTTGTTTCTTCTTTTCACCCGGACACGTGCCGAGAGCACGGAGCGAGACCAGAACGGCCGAGTGCTGCGCAGTTACCGACGCTTTTCCCCCAGCTGTGGGAGCTCTGCTTTCGATTACTGCTGCTCTGCTCCCGTCGCCTTGCAAGCAGAGAGCCTGAAGAGAGCCACCTCGTTTCCACACCGCTGACTCCCAGCCTGTTCGGGATCTGGCCTGCATGCGCAGCACAGTGGTTTTCAGTGCTTTCAGTTCCCAGATCCCTGGCATCTTCCTACATGGACACCGTGTAATGAATGGAGACCCGCTGATTTTTTATTCTTTTTATTTTGTGAGTCCTTTGGGCAATCCTAGTGCCCGGATCAAGGGCCCACAGCCCATGGGTGTTACAACTGCATGCTATGAAATGCCACGATAAGCGATTCAAATCATATCTCCTTGCCAGGAATACCACCTGCTTAACTCTTCTTAATGTTTCTGGGATGCCAGTACATGTGACTGATGCACTTTGTTAGTGTTAGTGCGTAAAATTCAGGGGAATCAGTTGATCCAGGCTGTCGCACTGGGGTTTCTTGGTCTCGCTGCAGCAAGGTAGGAAGCTCAGACTTGAGCAGAGTCCGTGCAAGGAAGGAGTCTCACTCGAGTAATGGTCTGTAACACAGAAAATTCAACCAATTCAAGGTTCTGTAACGTTGAACTCTTGTTTAAACTGACGGACCTGAGTGGAGGGTAGCTGGGTGCTCTGTGTTGTATTGCCACTAGAGGGAAATACACGGCCACCTCGGTGAAAGTAGATTGGAGCCTCCAAACAGCTGTTCCAGGAAGCTTCCCACACTTCTTCCATCAGTTGTGCTTTTCTTTTTTGCCTTTTTGTTTATTTGTGTCTTTTGAATACGAAAAATATTTTCATTGTTAGTCCTGCACTGCTATGGTGAGAATAGTTCATTTTTTTGCTCCCATTTTTCAGCCAAAGGAAGTCAGAGGGGCTGGATGGGTGTGAGGGAGAATGATGTCCAAGCTGAGACACCACAGGACTCACAAATCCTGTATCTGCTCTAATGCTTAGATACAAGTGATTCCCACCAAGCTGGTGGGGCCTCCTGCTATTTAGGAGGGAGAGACCTGAACCCAGGAGTCCTGTGGCATTTCAGTTCAAACCAGCAGTCTGAGCATTTCAGTTCAAACCAGCAGCAGGGTTTTCTTTTGATGAAAAGAGTCTGGTCTGCAAGCGTCATCCTTGCCTCACCATGTGTTCCTGCAGCTGGCTGCAGCCTCTCCACCAGCTCAGGGTGGAGCAGTGGAGCTCTCCCAGGGAGACTCCATCCTTGCCGCAGCCGAGGGAATGACGTGATGAGTCTGTTCTCCTTTCCTGTCGCCGGTAAATGGTGTTTGCTGTCTTCTTGGTGCACAGGCTCGTCAGCTGATCCTGCAGAATGGCTTAACGCTAAGTGACTTGGACCGACATCCAGAGGTAAGTAGGACCGCGGAGGTGAGACCTCCCCCGACCTTCCTCTAACCTGGTCCTCCATAAAGCATCCAGCTCCTTTGTCCTCCCCTGAGGATGAGAGCTCAGGCAGCCACGCTGCAGAACGTGAGCGAGAACTAGCTTAGTTTATTTTTGTCCCCAAGCCTTAGTCTTGTCTGGATGCTTGTCCCTTTAGACGGCAAGTACGCTGCCGAGCTGTGTTTCCTCCAGGTGTTTGGCATCTCTTCCAGGCTGAGGCATGCTGGCCTGAGACAGGGATATTGTGCTGCTGAACTGTCACCGAGATGTTCCCCGGGAGTCCCCTGCTTGTGTGCGGGTCCTTAAGTGACACTAGAGGATAAAGTGATGTGCCTTGCAGGCCAGCGGCTGGTTTTGGTTTTTCTTTCTCCTGCTGTCACGTGCCTGTGGTTTAGTGGGGGCTGGTATCCTTGGGTGGCTGATCAGGCACTTATCTCTGGTCACGCTGGCATCAAGGTGGTCCCAGCTCTGGTGACATTCCTGGCTGCTGCTGGGGACCTGCCATCCTCCCGAGCTGTGCCGAGAGCAGCACCTGGATGCTGCACCGGAGAGGTTTCCACACCAAGTTTCTCCTCTTCCTACAGCTCGACGTCGCCATCGATGGAGCAGATGAAGTCGACTCTGACCTCAACCTTATCAAAGGTGGCGGGTGAGCCTTGCTGTCCCTCTGTCTGTCTGTGGCGCTGGTGGCCGTGGCCTCCGAGCATCCTTTTCTGGCCGGTGGATGTCTCCGGGGGTGGGCTGGAGAGGCTGAGGGGATCCTGTGCGGGGCTGGGTGCGCACCTGCGGTGGAGATGGCTCCTGACCGAGAGAGCGTGTGCGAGGGACAAGGAGGATGAGTGATGGGGCAAG